CCCCAGTTTTCCTCCACAGCAACATCTCCCATCACTGGAGAACAGCATCAACACGGGAAGCTGACATCCATACAGGTTCTAGGTCATTCTATCACATGCAGATTTGTGTCACTGCCTCAGCAATCAGGAATTGACATCACAGGGGTACCTGGCTGGCCCAGTCACTGGAGCCTGTGACTCTTGATCTTGGGGTAGCAAGTTCAAGCCCCACGTTAGGGGTAGAGATTAAGTGAAGAAATAAATCTTAAAAAAAAGAATGAGCACTGTCATAATCATTGAATAGCTGAATATCCTGCCAGGCACACAGCACGCTCTCTGCCTCTCTTCACTAGTAAGAGCGAAAGGAGACACGATTAACTGTGACAGGGCAACAGGTACAAACTGGGACTGTTCTGGGCACAGCCAGATATATGGTCACCCTAATATTTCCTCATGTAACGCCTTGAACTTTTCAAGGTAGGTACCAGCCACCCCCACATACAGATGTGCCCAGGGTCATGTGGCTGGACCCGGACCACCACTGTTGAAAGGAACCATCACTACCCCATGGATCACCTCTTTTCTGGTTAGGCATGGCAACTGGGTTCTAAAGAGAGAAGGGACTGTCTTGTCCAGTGTGCTCACCGACCTGGACTGGGGTTGTGGTGCCAGAGCCCGCACCCTGGGCATGGCGTGGCATGGTATGGCATGGTGTGACATGCTGGGTGGTCAGCGTGAGCCGGGAGCGGCGGTGCTGAGGGGCTCGGCCAAAGGGAACTTAGTTCTGTCGGGGGGCTGGGAGCCTGGGGGGAGGTGGAGTGGGCGGAAGAAGCCCCTGACAGCAGGTGGCCCCTGAGGGGCCAGCTGGTAGTGAGTGGGCAGGCGGTGGCAGAGGGGCCCCTGGGGGCTGGGGGACTGGGGGGGCAGTGGGGGTTGTGGTGGGAAGGAAAGAGTGAGAGGCCGCTGGCACCATCTGGGTCCAGGTCTTGGTTGAAAGTAATGGATCGGAAGCAGCTAGCCTTGAAAAACACCTTGAAGGGGGCCATGGAGTCAGGCAGAAACCCGAGACAGAGGTACAGGGATGCACACATGGCCCACCTCATCCCTTCCTGGGCCTGAGTTCTGGGGCAGTCTGGAGCAAGGAGCGCCCTCAGACACCACCCCCTCCAGTGCCATTGGACTGGGCCTGGCAGGTCACATCAGAACCATGCAGGGAAGGGGGCTCTGATTTGAGCCCCTCTCACAACACATGCCTGATACTTCTCATGTGTGGTTGCCTTTTTTTTTTTTAATTAATTAATTTTTTGACTTACCTCCAAGTTAGTTAGCATATAGTGCAATAATGATTTCAGGAGTAGATTCCAGTGATTCATCCCCTACGTATAACACCCAGTGCTCATCCCAACAAGTGTCCTCTCTAATGCCCCTCGCCCATTTAGCCATCTCTCCACCCACAACCCCTCCAGCAACCCTCTGTTTGTCCTCTGTATTTAAGAGTCTCTTATGTTTTGTCCCCCTCCCTGTTTTTATATTATTTTTACTTCCCTTCCCTTATGTTCATCTGTTTTGCATCTTAAATTCCTCCTATGAGTGAAGTCATACATTTGTCTTTCTCTGACTAATTGAATACATTTTTTGCTAATTGCCTCAATAACTAGCAGAGTATGTAAGCTATTCTTTTAATCACACTTAAAATTATACTTTAATAAAGGCTGGAATTCTCACACAAAAAAGTAAATGCCAATTATTCTATTTTTTTAACCGCAAAAGTTTACATTGCATTAGACTTACTGATTCTGCCGACAGAAAAAAGGTCTTTGAAACAATGGTTACCTAGATGTGACACACGAATTCCCCCCAAACTAAAGGTTAACCAATTATAAATGCAACTAAGAAACTCCTAATTCATCAATGTACTATCATTTTTAAAGACCCTTGAGTCCATCTCAGATTGATAATTTCAGGAATAGTTTTAAGAATAAAAACTGATCATACATTGAAAAACCTACTACAAGTGACAGAACAGCATGGAGGTTCACAAGAAGACTGTAAAAAGTAGAAAGCAAATTCTAACAGCTGCTAACAGCTGTACAACAGGGTAAGAACGAGTATCCCGCGGTACTATTAAGGACTCTAAGGGAATTCAGTTTCCAATCACATTTCAAGTAATGAAGAATGCAGATTCAGCCTTCCTGCATCGATATATCCCCTTCTCTGCTAAGCGCTGGAAAGTGAAGAAACCATGCCAGCTGCACAGCTGAAATGGAAACACAAAAAGCTATCAGAGTGTCGGGAGACACCACAGAATGAATTATCTATTTCCCTAACGGTTACCCACACGTCATCAATAATGAAGAAGTGTGTATTAATAGCCCCAGGGGACAAATGAAGCGCCAACTGTCTATGAAAATGGTGGACAGCAGACTAGTTCAGGGACTGAACTCTGCTTGGGCAGGTATCTCAAACACACCAGGTGGCGACACAGAGCATTTTTGTGCCTTCCCCTTTTACTGGAAGCAAGGAAGGGGGGTGGCAGATGGAGTCAGCTGACAGAACAAAGAGGACAGCTCACTGCCACTGGAAGCCAATCACAATCTGTTCTGAGATTACAAATATCTGTAAGAAAGAAAATCATTTAAAAAAAATCCACGAAGGCTAAAAATGCAAATAATGATGTTAGAATTAAGACTGATAATGAGGGGCGCCTGGGTGGCTCAGTAGGTTAAGTGTCTGACTTCGGCTCAGGTCACGATCTCACCGTTTGTGAGTTCGAGCCCCGCGTTGGGCTCTGGGCCGACAGCTCAGAGCCTGGAGCCTGTTTCAGATTCTCTGTCTCCCTCCCTTTGTTCCCCTTTCCTGCTCGTGCTCTGTTTCTCTCTCTCTCTCTGTCTCAAAAATAAATAAACACTAAAAAAAAAAAAAAGATAATGAAATTTAGTATGTTTCCAACTTATGAAGTGGTACTGTTCTAGACACTTTACTATAAACCAGATGGATGGAACTGAAAAGTCATTTTCTTATAACAACACTGTTACAGAAAAGGTAAGACCCTAGGCTAACTCATTAATGCATATAGTGCATGCCCTGGAAATAGTACACCTTTGCAATTTTAGTAGAATGCACTGCTGAAGGAGTTAAGACCTATAAGAAACATTAACATAAACTACAATAACTTATTATGAAAGGTATCATTTGAGGGGCAAAAATCTTAATTAGAAGAATTAGGAAAACTAACACCTTTTTTGGTCAACATCCAAGAAGCATATATACGGGCCCCAGGCATCCCTGAGGTGATGAAACAAGGTTCGGAAAGATTTTAGAATCTGAGTAATAATTGAGTTCTAAATTAGTGGGAAACAGAAAAATAGGAAAAGAATCCCATGAGATGAGTAACAAGAGAGAGGGCACCCTAGAAAAACGCCAGGCTGGACAGCTTCCTGAACGTATCACGGAGTGATCTTGTTAACCCAGCACAATCTGGTTTGTAAATCCTGTCACTCAGAGGGCAAGGGGCCAGAAGCGGGCCCGCGAAGGCATGTGGTGCGCCTGGGTCTGGACACACAGCCGTCCCTAAGCAGGTTCACAGTCATTTCCAATCAGCTACCAATGGGAGGCAGCCAGCGTGGGGCAGTGGAAAGAGACAGGTTTCCTGGCCTGGTCTGCTAATAGCTAGGTGGCCTTTGCCAACTCACTTAGCTTCTCTGAATATACACTTCCTCACGTCTAAAAGGGAGACGAAACATGTAACAGAAAAACTGCTGGCATCAAATGTCATACGTAGTGTGTTAATGCAGCCACTTCCAGAAGACGAAATTTAAATATTCTAACATCCACTAGAGCAGGGTGAATGAAAGTAAGCACAACTACAAGTTCTGCTAGACTTGGATTAAATAATGGATGAGATTCACTGGAGAATACCGGAGGATGTGCACACAGGAAATAAATAGGGCAATGCGTTACCTTTCTGTCAAAACCCAGTTCAGGTAGCAGCTCCTTCAGAAAGCCTTTCCTGGACCTCTACTCCCCCCTACCAACCATTCCACATCCTGCAGTTCGTACAAATTTATGTGGTGACGCTTACTACTGTAGAATAATTAATTCACCTGTTTTACACAGACTGGGAGCTCCTCGATGGCCGTGACTTCATCTATTCGATTCTCTATTTTCGGTAGTCAGTGCCTGGCACATAGTAGGTCAACAATTAACTGACTTGAGCAGTCTATGTTTTAGGTGGCATAATTATGAGATTCCATTACATGCATGGCAGCAAATTAGCGTTTACTCAAATAAAATGCAACTTCTTGGTAAAAGACATGTGATTAATCTAAGTATGGACACAGATCAGTATTCACCCGGGCCAAAGAAACCAGGGCAGGATCAATATAAATCAAACATCAAAACTGGAAGCCTCTTGTGCCTTAATGTTCAGTTACTATGACCTAGTGAACCTGTGTAAAACAGCCGAATAAAAGATTTGTTTTCGGTTATGACGCCCCGGGGAGTATCACCAGCATCGCATTTTGCAGAAAGCAAACGCTGGCAAAAACCGACGGCAAAGTCGACTTCAATTGCGTGGGGTGCACTCGCGCCGTTTCTTAGACACCCCAAACTTGCTGCCATGCAATCCGCAGGTCTACACCTGTCGGTGGCGGGGAGCGGCCGGGACTCTGCGGGCCCTCTCTGACCGCGCAGCTGGGGGAGTTCGGTGTCACTTTCGCCAGGAGCGTGGGAGGGCGCGGGCCGCGAGGGGCGAGCTCTAAGTACCTGTCTGTGCGCGCTCCTGGCCAGACCGCCGACAGGCTTCGGAGACGCGCTCCGCGTCCAGCCCCGCAAGGCAGCGCCGGGCGCTCGGTAACCGGCGCGCCCGCTCCCGCGACGGGCCGCGGGGCTGCGGAGCGGATCCCGCTCCCCCGGGGAGGAGGTTCGGGTCCCGGGCGCCCGCGAGGCCCCGCCGGCCGCCCCCCGCGTCCCTCCCAGGCGGGAGCGCACCCGGCGGCTCGGCGGCCGCGCACCGTACTTACTTAGACCTGCTCGCAGGCTGCGCAGTGGGCCGCGGACACGGAACCCGTTGCCGCGCGGCAGCGTCCCCCCGCGCCGCTTCCGTCGCTCCTCATCGTCCTCCTCCAGCCGAGGGGCCGCCGCCGTCGCCACGGTCTAGCCCGGAGCTCTTGCGGCGCCGCTCGCGGCTCCTCCACTTCCGGCCCACGCTCGGTGTCGCCGGCAAATGTCCCCGCCGGCTCCCACATCACCTGCTCCCCTCTCCGCCTTCCTCCTCCTAGTGGGAACCCGGCCCGCCCTCCCGGGCATGCGCACAAACCACAGTCGGGGGAGTCCCCGGCGACGGTGGCCGGCACGGACAAGATACGTTGGAGCCTGGCCGCCAGCACGCTGGAACTCGCGGTGGGCGACCGGACCCGGCGGCTTCTGAGCCCGGGGCACCTGGAGGCCTCCTGCCCCTCATCCGAGGCCCCCAGGGTGAGTGTTGGTAACGCACCAGATTTCCCTTTGGGACACAGCTCTAAGCGTGTACACAGATTAGGATTAATTACCTAAAACAGCGTGTCTGGCCAATAGAGTTAGGAGGGGTATGTACCGTGCGTTCCGGTACTTCCTTAAAAACGCATCCGTAACTTATTTTGTTTCTGTTTTCTCCCAACCCAGCCCTCCCCTACCTCTATCAGAATGGACCTTCACGGGCAGATGGAGGTTTTATGAGGCCTGAACGTGAGGAGATTTAGAGGGCCTTCCAAAGAACAGGAATGCAAAATTATCTTACTTTTGCAACTTTTCCAAAAGCACAAGACCAGGGAACACTGCTAGAGCCCAGGGCCTGGGACGTGTCCACACAAAGGGGCCCTTGAAGCTGGTGCTTCATTACCTTCACTTTCCCAAGGCACCAAGTTGTACTAAATTGTTTATCTACAGATGTCTGCTCCCCCCCCCCCCCCGCCTTGGTCATTCCCTATTCTCTGTTCCCTATTTTATATATACAAAGAATATTTCATATTTAAAAAAACAAGACAAAACAAAACAAAACAAAAAACATGTATCTTGCCGTCAGATGGAGAGCTCCAGGTCAAAGCCAGGCTCTCGATATTAGCTTCTTGTTGTTTGTCACCTGATAAATGCCAGGCACTAAGATAGACCACTTAACGTAAATAAACTAATAGTCACAGCAACTTTAGAAGATACTTAATGAAAAACCCTGATTATCTTTGAATCAAGGATTAGAAAGGCTAAAATATCATGGACTAGGATTTGAATCAATTTGGAGTTTGGTTTCATAATCCATGGTTCCTCTCTTCCCAGTAATACAAAGTGCAAACTCTGACATTATAGGAGCTCAGTAGATGCTGAACAAGGTATAAATGCGCACAAATGCCCTTTCATAAGATGGACTCTTGTGGGGGGTCCATTACCAACATTGTTGGGCGCTACTCCAAAATAAATTGATAATTCAGTTGAATAGTAGTTGGAGAAATTACCATCAAAAGAGTATCATGTGACTTGTAAACTTCATAGCTGATTTCAGAGAAATATTTGGATAACCTAGGTGCATTTGACATAAAAGGAAATTAATTGAATGTTGTTGGGCTAAGTCTAGCTCTGCTACAAACGAATGCTGTGAATTAAATAAGTGACAGTTTTGTAAAATGAGATTTTTGAACATTAGACAACCCCAAAGGGCACTTAGTAGCTCTAAAATGTTCTCAGAGACTGTTGCAGCAAAATATCACTTTCTTAAAATATCATCCCTTAAAGCAACAGTATTTTATGGCAAGAGGAAATAACTCTCAAAGGTGTTTCCACCGTCATGGATAATTTTTCAGTTCTCCATGAAAGAAGACAAATCAAAACAAAATATTAGTAGAAATCAACAGTTCCTGGAACATAAGGACTGAGTTTGTTTTTATCTCAATCTTGAATGCCTAGCAAATTACTATATCATGGTTGGTGCTCAGTGAAGATTTGCCAAATAATTTTATTTTGACTCCTTGGACAGACACTAGAAGAATCCATAGTTGATTTCCAGGCATGCAACTCTTTATGTCTGTATTATGAATTGTATATTATGTATTTTTATGAATTATGTATTATTTCTGTATTAGGAGACAAGAACTCACATCCAAGCTGTACCATCATGAGAAACAAATAGGAAAGGACAGCCTTAAGCAATTTTGGACAAGCCTATTTTTCCATTTAAATGAAACGTCTGATGTTTGGGGAGGCAAGATGCCCTTTTCAATTATGGGCACTTTCACAAGCAGCCAATGAGATGAGTATTGGTACAGTTTACATAACAGCAAACAGAACTCTACGAGGCTGTCACTTGCTAGTGTGCAGACCAAGGCCAGGGAAGACTCAGGTTCACATTCCAAGGAAGGAGCCAGTGCACAAAGTGCTCTTGGGAGACAAAATCCTCGCTCAGACAAAATCCACTCTCATGGGTGAAACACTGGCAAAGAGCACCTGCTGCTTTGGGAGGCTAACAGGAGTTGTATTTGTGGTCACGCTGCCACCAGGCTCCCTGGAGTCCTCAGCCATGCAAGGCGGACCAGTGCCCAACCCGAACGTCACTGCGCGTGCGCACATCATCCCTGTGCCCTCAAGGCCTGCAGATGCGACTGCGACTGCGACTGCGCCTGCGCAAGCATCTTCATGATGTCAGGGCCTCCCCGGCCTTAAGTGGAGATTGCGTCTGCGCCAGGAACAGCTGGTGGAACCGGCTCCCTGGGCTGCGGCTTCCGGTTTGGAGAACGCACCTGGGGCTTCGCGTGCTGTGGGGTGTTTGTGCGGCTGCGCGGCCCGGGAGGGGGCTCGGAGTCCCCGGAGCGAACGGGGTTGGGGTACGTTTGGCAGACAGACCCTGGGCTGGGGTGACCCAAGCCGAAGGGAACCACCCCGCGTCTTTTCGGCCCACCGATTGCTTATAGTCTTTAAAGTTTTTTTCTTGTTTCGGGACAGGAAGTCTTTCGGCCCATTCGCCCCGGCCGGAGTCGCAGGTGAGGGTCGCGGGCCGCCCTGGCGACCGCGCTGCGGTGGAAGCCGGGTCTTTGGTTCTGGGTTCTGGGTCTGGACCCGCACCCTTGGGATGCGGGGGCGAGGGGCCTGCCTCTCGGGAACGCAGCTGGCTGCTGTGATGCTGTGTTTGCGGACTGTCTGGTTCTGGGGACCCCCTCTCCCCAAGCCGGGGCGAGTTCACCCCGGATCCGTTGCGGGTTTTATTTGCGGGGTTGGGGGAGTGGTGTGGACCCCTCCAGAGATTTTGCAGGCCTGTCCCGGTGCAGTTGGAGAGAGATACAGTATCCTTAGAGGGAACCACCTTATTTCTCTTCTTACTTTTCGTCTTCTGTCAACCTCCTGGCTCCCACAGCTTTCTGGCTTTTTCCTATCGCAGGTTTCTCTCCGGTTAGAGTCTCCCCAAATATCACAAGTGTATAAAGGCTGCTGTAAACCCCCTGTCTCACAGGGAAGCGCATCTTCTTGAAGGGGCTGCAGGAAGGAAACTTAAATTGTACCAGTCACTTTCTCTGCAGTAAAATAGCACTAAAGCATCATATTCACTGAATGCAACCTTGCTGGTATGTTTCATTGTGTCACTTTAGGATAATATAGGCAGTTGCTGAATGGACGATGAGTCATTATTGTAATATCAATGATCTGTATTCATTCTCTTGAAAGTTGCTTATTTATCAAAAAGCGAAGCATATCCCTCTCTTATTTCCTTAATATTTTATAATATTTATATTTTAAATGTTACTTGCGTCAACAAGCAGTATAGTCCTAAAACTGATCAAGGATTTACCAGCTACCAACTACTGTGTTAAGCACCTTATGTAAATTATCTGAGTTCATCCTCCTCTTACCATCTGCAGTTATTAACCCCATTTTTCACTTAAGGACTCTCAGGGAAATTAAGTGGTTTCCCCATGTCACACAGCTGTTAAGTTTTGAGTCTAGAGTTGAACTAACATTGGACCCTGGAGCCTGAACCCTAACCACAAACCACAAGTCAAAAACATCAACTAACAAACCCAGAATCCAGAAGATAAAATTAGGGAACATGTAAAAGCAGTGGTACAATTTTAATGAGTAAAAATATTTAAACCTGTTCATTTGTTACTAGTTTTGGAATCCTTGTTGTATTTATAGCAGTTTTGGCTTACATGGGTGTCCACCCCATTACCTAGATTTCAGTGTTGTTATAAAGTAATTTGAGTCTTTGCCTGGAACTTGTTGAAGGAAACTGAGACCAAGTAGAATATTCAGATAGATCGGAAACTGTATTCCCACCTTGTACATTCAAAGAAGAATTTCTCAACATTCTTCATTTTTTATACATCATATATGGGTTGTAAATATAACATTATATACCACAGCATACTGACTTAAGGGGGCATGTTTTGCAAAGTAAGACAGTAAACATAAGCAGGTGGTTCAGTCCGTTACGCTGATAAGACACCTCAAGAGGAAGCAGTTACTGTATTCAAAGACAAAATCCTCAGGAAAGTTGTCTCTCATGGGTTTATTTCTTGGTCTTAACTGACCCAACAGAAGTTGAGTTTCCTTTGTTAGGAATTCGACTGAGAAGTGGAGCCTTTTCCCCTAAAGGCCACCAAATGGCTGTTGTGGAACTTGCCCTGTGCAGTCATAGCTGCTAAATGGTTTTGACCAGACTGAATCCCACCAGGCATAGTGGGGAGTGAATGCAATCAGCCCCTGGCCTTTTCTCGTGTGCTTTTCCAGGAACTCCACTCTAGATGTTGAGTAATTCGTTCAGCAAACAAACCTACTAAGTGCCAGGCACTACTGACACAAATTACAACTCCTGACCTCAGGAGACTGGTGGGGTAGTAACGGCTGTACCATAACCAGCCATGTGATTTCTTACGCCAGATGTTAGGCAACATAGCCTCGTACTGATGGTGCCTGTGGCTTGTTTGCTGCTGTGGGGAAATCTCACCGTCCCTGAGACCGCTACGGGGCTCCCTCCTCCCTGTGCAGCTGCTCTGAGGCTTGACGGGGATGTACCAGGAGGTGTCTGAAACCACAAGATAAAACGTGGTTTTTATTCCCAGAACACACATTTTACGTGAAGTCTTTGGTTTTTTTGGAGAGTGCGTGTGTGTGCAGAAGAGAGGCAGAAGGAGAGAGAATCTTAAACAGGCTCCACGCTCAGGATGGAGCCCGACACGGGGCTGGGTTTCACGACCCTGAGATCATGACCTGAGCTGAAACCAAGAGTTGGATGCTCAGCTGACTGAGCCACCCAGGAGCCCCTTCTTGAAGTCTTTTTTGGAAAAGTTAGTTGATTTTAGTGTTCTATGGTTTACATCACATAGTAGCTCTGATATCTTATAGACTCTAATAGGACTTGCATGAATATTTGAAACTTTAAGGAAATTTCACACTTGTGGTGACCACTTTAGGAAATAGTCTAGACCCTAGCCCAGCAAGGTACTCATTATTTCCTCTGACTTTAGAAGATACTTCAGTGGACAACTGTCTCGTGACAATTTATTTTTGTTGCAGCACTTAGCATTTTGTAATTAGTTCCATCATACCCCCTTTTTCTTTACAGAACATATGCTCTCTTAAAGCAGAAACATAGCATGGTGCCTGGTGGATATGTGGTCGGTGAATTGTTAGGGGTAACAGGCATGAGATGAGAATATGAACCCAAAAAATGTACTACTGAATTTAAATTTATGAAGCTGTAAACAGTTAGACAAAATAGTTAGAAGAGGTAAGTCAAGTAAGGATTTCAGGTGGAAGTTATTTTGAGTTGGGTTTTGAATATTGATTGGAATGATTGGGTAAAGCTAGCGGTGATGTGAAAGTGAACACAGACAGACATAGGCTTTGTTTGGCCTAAAGAAGAAAGTAGCTGTTTTGGGGGGGGGGGGGGGTTTTTTTGTTTTTTTGGGGTGTTTTTTTTTTTTTTTTTTTGTGGTGAACTCCTATCTGTGTAGGAGTCCAAACTTCCTGCAAAGCCAAATTCAATTCCATGAGCTGGTGGTTAGAAACATCTGTTTCTGAGGCTGTGTGGTAGTCTGACAGAAAAAGAGGAGAAATAAAAGGAAAGGCCTTACCTCAGAAGGCCAGAAATGAAATGCATTGAGCCTTCTTTTTCTGTTGTTATTCTTTTGCATCATGCACTGAATAAGGAACGGAATAGTTAATTCAATAGAAGTTGGAGTTTACGGAGAAAGACGAGGTAGTCGATTTCAATATTGCTAATGTAGTGAGTGGAGCTGCTGATACTTTTAGTAATAAATACGGAATAGAATTGAAGTAAAATAGTTGATTTTCCTTAAATGTAGAGGTGGAAAAGGGACAGAATTTATAAGCATTGATTCACTTTCATTTTGCAAATGTTGATAAATCTTTTATCATGAACGAAGCACTGTCTGTGAAGTCTTTACGTTAAATATTCAGTTGAAGTTTATCTTTGACTTAAAGTTCTTCTTTTTTCCTTATTAGCTAAACCAGAGGATTCCGCATCGCGTCTATGGCTACCCCACAGACTTCACAAACTGTTGCGTCTCACGTTCCTTTTGCAGATTTATGTTCAACTTTAGAACGAATACAGAAAAGTAAAGGACGGGCAGAAAAAATCAGACACTTCAGGGAATTTTTAGATTCTTGGAGAAGATTTCATGATGCCCTTCATAAGAACCAAAAAGATGTCAGGGACTCTTTTTATCCAGCAATGAGACTTATTCTCCCTCAGCTCGAAAGAGAAAGAATGGCCTATGGAATCAAAGAAACCATGCTTGCTAAACTTTATATTGAATTGCTTAATTTACCTAGAGAAGGAAAAGATGCCCTTAAGCTTTTAAATTACAGGACACCCACTGGAACTCGTGGAGATGCTGGAGACTTTGCGATGATTGCGTATTTCGTGTTGAAACCAAGATGTTTGCAGAAAGGAAGTTTAACAGTACAGCAAGTAAATGACCTTTTAGACTCAATTGCCAGCAATAATTCTGCCAGAAGAAAGGACCTAATAAAAAAGAGTCTTCTTCAGCTTATAAGTCAGAGTTCAGCACTGGAACAAAAGTGGCTTATACGGATGATAGTCAAGGACTTGAAACTTGGCTTTAGTGAGCAATCTGTATTTTCTGCCTTCCACAACGATGCTGCCGAGTTGCATAATGTCACCACGGATCTTGAAAAAGTCTGTAGGCAACTGCACGATCCTTCCGTCGGACTTACTGATATTTCTATCACTTTATTCTCTGCCTTTAAACCAATGCTGGCTGCCATAGCAGATATTGAGAGAATTGAGAAGGACATGAAACACCAGAGTTTCTACATTGAGACCAAGCTAGACGGTGAGCGTATGCAAATGCACAAGGATGGGGATGTGTATCAGTACTTCTCCCGGAACGGGTTTAACTATACAGATCAGTTTGGAGATTCTCCACGGGAAGGCTCTCTTACACCATTCATTCACAGTGCATTCAAAACAGATGTGCAAACCTGTATCCTGGATGGTGAGATGATGGCCTTCAACCCTAATACACAAACTTTTATGCAAAAGGGGAATAAGTTCGATATCAAGAGAATGGTGGAAGATTCCGATCTGCAAACTTGTTACTGTGTTTTTGACGTACTGATGGTTAATAATAAAAAGCTAGGGCGTGAGACCCTGAAAAAGAGGTACGACATTCTCACTAGTGTTTTTACACCAATACCAGGTAGGATAGACATAGTGCAAAAAACACAAGCTCATACGAAAAAAGAAGTAATTGATGCTTTGAATGAAGCAATAGACAAAAGAGAGGAGGGAATCATGATCAAACACCCTCTATCCATTTACAAGCCAGACAAAAGAGGTGAAGGATGGTTAAAAATTAAACCAGAGTATGTCGATGGGTTGATGGATGAACTGGACACCTTAATTGTGGGGGGCTATTGGGGTAAAGGTTCGCGAGGCGGAATGATGTCTCATTTTCTGTGTGCTGTAGCAGAGAAACCTCCTCCTGGTGAAAAGCCCTCCATGTTTCACACTCTCTGTCGTGTTGGTTCAGGTTATACCATGAAAGAACTGTATGATCTGGGTTTGAAATTGGCCAAGCATTGGAAGCCTTTTCATAAAAAAGCTCCACCAAGTAGCATCTTATGTGGAACAGAGAAGCCAGAAGTGTACATTGAGCCTTGTCATTCTGTCATCGTTCAGATTAAAGCAACAGAGATCGTCCCCAGTGAGATGTATAAAACTGGCTGCACCTTGCGTTTCCCCCGAATTGAAAAGATCAGAGAAGACAAAGAGTGGTATGAATGTACCACCCTAGATGACTTAGAACAACTTCGAGGGAAAGCATCTGGAAAGCTTGCGTCCAAACACCTTTATGTCGGGGGTGATGATGAACCACAAGAGAAGAGGCGGAAAGCTGCCCCAAGGATCAAGAAAGTTGTTGGAATCATTGAGCACCTAAAAGCACCTAACCTTTCTAATGTAAACAAAGTTTCTAATGTATTTGAAGATGTGGAGTTTTGTGTTATGAGTGGAACAAACAGCCATCCAAAGCCCGATCTGGAGAACAGACTTGCGGAATTTGGTGGTTATATAGTACAAAATCCAGGCCCAGACACCTACTGTGTGATTGCAGGGTCCGAGAACATCAGGGTGAAAAACATAATTTCTTCCAATGAACATGATGTTGTCAAGCCTGAGTGGCTGTTAGAGTGTTTTAAGACCAAAAGCTGTGTTCCGTGGCAACCTCGCTTTATGATTCATATGTGCCCATCGACGAAGCAGCATTTTGCCCGTGAATATGATTGTTATGGTGATAGTTATTTCGTTGATACAGATTTGAACCAACTGAAAGAAGTGTTCTCAGGAATTAAAAATTCCGGCGAACAAAGTCCTGGAGAAACAGCTTCCATGATTGCTAATTTAGAATATCGATATTCCTGGGACCACTCCCCACTCAGTATGTTTCGACACCACATTATTTATTTGGACTTGTATGCTGTTGTTAATGACCTGAGTACCAAAATCGAGGGGACGAGGTTAGCTTTTACAGCTTTGGAACTTCGATTTCATGGAGCAAAAGTAGTTTCTTGTTTAGCTCAGGGAGTGTCTCATGTAATCATTGGGGAGGATCATAGTCGTGTTGCAAATTTGAAAGCTTTTCGAAGAACTCTTAAGAGAAAATTTAAAATCCTGCAACAAGATTGGGTAACTGATTCAATAGACAAGTGTGAATTGCAGGAGGAAAATCAGTATTTGGTTTAAAGCTAGCTTTTCTAGTGAGGAAAGCCTGTGATCTGGTGGACACGTCATAACAGGTTGTAAAGATAAAATTTTAAACTACATTTTGTTTTTATCCCTTCAAATTTATGCTTAAATGGTATTATTAGAATAGGAAAACAATATTTTTAAGTTTTGAGATAGGTAAGACCCTGAATAGCCCAAAGCCAAGAAAGAAAAAAATCTTTTAGCAGTGTAATATTTGATGACTTTTAAAACCAAGATGAAATAAACAGTTTAAAGAAGAGGTGTTGATATGATATCCCTATAGAAATCTAGAATTTTGACTCCAATATTAATAAAATACATTCAGAAGCTTTTAGAGTCATTAAAAGCATTGATCTAAATGGATTTTCTGGAGTCAAATAAAAATTGTAATAGTTGTTATATAATAAAGCATTGCAAGAAAGAATTGTTGTAGTTAGATTTGTAAAAATATATCTTAAATTGAAGACTAAAATTCTTTTAAGTTTGAAATGTTGTAAACAAATTTGTTTTTTAGGGTTAAGGGCAAGCTCATAAATGAAACCTGTTATTGATGTAACTAGGTAAATTAGGGGAAATTGAATGAGACTTGATGGTCTAAAAACTTAAAATTAGATCAGTTTGATTAAAAGAAACTTACCATTTTGCAAGTATTGGGCCCACATTTATTGTTTCTCTAAAATAGAGCATGTTTCAAAGACCATGTTTTTATGTGAACTTTACTCCAAGATGAATAGTATTCACAAAGAGTGATTTGCCTAGATGTAATCCACATGTCAAAATAGCCTATGTGTTGGGACTTTCATTACAGAGAGGTAAATTGCTCTATTTAAAATGATTTTTATCTTAGGTTATTTAAATTCAGTGTATATAATATATATTATGTCTGGATTTATATACTAAATTTTGGAATACAGTGTATTCATTATGAAAAATATATTTTCATGACACCTCTGAAATACATAAAATATGGAACCCAAGGAACTGTGTATAGATCATTTGTATGTAGTTTTAGATTTTATTGAAATGGTGGAACAAATGTAATTTTATTTCTTAATTTAAATAAAATATTTAATATGCTATTGAAATTTATGGTGGTTGATGGATTGATTGATTTTGAGAGAGAGCATGAGCTTGAGCCAGAGAGGAGGAGAGAGGGAATCCCAAACAGGCTCCACGTTGTCAGCACAGAGCACGATTCAGGGCTCCAACTCAGGAACTGTGAGATCATGACCTCAGGTGAAATCAAGAGTCAGATGCTTAACCAACTGAGCCACCCCTATGATGTATTTATTTTGAGACAATTTGTAATAGTTATTTCAATCAGATTAGATACTACGGTATCTATAATTTTTGACTGATTCAAATCAGGTTCCTATTTGAGGTCCTTTGTGTTTCATATTATTGAATGAACTTTATTAAAAATTTAAACTTGGGGCACCTGGGTGATACAGTTGGTTAAGCATCCGACTTTGGCTCAGGTCATGATCTCACGGTTGGTGAGTTTGAGCCCCGCGTCAGGGCTGTGCTGACAGCTCAGAGCCTGGAGCCTGCTTC